TGTTTGCACCTTCTGTAACTTCTATGCCAATATGTGACCAGTGAATTTCTCCACTGTGAAATCAATAAAGCTCATCTAATCTAATCTAATGGATGATGATAGATGATGGGTGGATGATTGATGATGGTAGATGGATGGGTGATGGGTGAAGGGTGGATGATGATGGATGGATATCAGTTAATCAGATGGAAAAAATTTAAATAATTTTTTAGTTTTTATGGCCCTAGTGTGTCATTTTTTCGACAGTGGGCTGATAGGAAAGGGGGTATGAGACAGGGGGAGAGACATGCGGGAAAGGACCACAGGCTGTATTTGAACCCCGGTCGCCCACATCGAGGACTAAGGCCTCTGTACATTGGCCAGTATTTATAACAAATTATTGGTTTACATCCCTGATACACACATTTATTTAATCCCAGCTTTCCTTTCCACATTGAAGAAAATCAATCAAAGCATGATGCTGCTACTACCATGTCTGGCTGTGGGTCCACCATGGTCATCATCTGTAGCTTCTTCCTTAATGTTTCCATTCGTATTAATCTCTGATCTTCACACCGTCTCAAACACGTTTAAAGCTCACTAATGTTGGATTTCCTAACATGGAAATGAAGTAACCCAGAGCAGGACGCTGTTCATTAGGATTTATTTTTCTGTCTGATAGAGATGTTCTGTTTGGACTTTAAATCACATCGAATCTCATCAGTTCTTAAAGAGGCAGCATCCGGATGATGATGCAACCATTGAAGGCATTTAGAAAACAAAGGAAGCTGGGATCCACCTTCAGCCCCTGGAGGGGGGGTCCATTCCCTTTAACCTTTTGCCTACTTGATTATCCAGCCTTGCATAAGGAGGTTAAATAAATTCATTAATTTTTATCTGTTCTGCTCCCTCTATCAGCTGACCTCCAAACGGAAATCTATCGGAGTCTGTTTGGCTCATTATTCTGCATCCAGCTTCTGGCTGGAATCATTTAGAGTAGAACGGTTTAATCTATGGTCCCAGAAAAACATCCAAAGCCAACGAAAATAAAGAAAATAAAAATACTGCAATTTAAAAAAAGAGGCTCAAATTAGATCAATTTAAAGTCATAGGGAAGTCATATTTAAATGTCAA